AAAGATGGACACCTTCATACTGGTCAAAGGAATAATACAAGAGGACATCTCAATTTTAAACATTTATGCACCTAACTTAAATGCTCCCAGATTTATGAAATAGACCTTGATGAGTCTGAGCAATATGATATCCCAAAACACCTTAATAATTGGGGACTTCAACACCCCACTGACAGAACTGGACAGATCTCTGAACAGAAACTAAACAGGATTCAAAGGATTTAAACGTGACCCTAGAACAAATGGGATCAATGGACATATACAGAACACACCATCCCAAAGCAAAAAAAATACTTTTTTCTCACAAGCTCATGGCCCATACTCCAAAATAGATCACATCCTAGGATACAAATCAAACATCAGCAAAATTAAAAGAATAGAGATTGTAAAGCAAGTAGACTGCCCTCAGAATGGGATAGGATATTTGCAGGTTATATTTCTAACAAAGGTCTGAACCAGGATCCACAGAGGACTCAAACTCATTAATAATAAAAGAACAAGTGATCCCCTTTCACGATGGGCAACAGAAGCTTCTCCAAAGAAGACAGGCGCATGGTATACAGACACATGAAAAAATGCTTGTCATCTTTAATCATCAGATAAATGCAAATCAAAACCACTTTGAGATACCATCTAACTCCAGTAAGAGTAGCCCACATAACAAAATTCCAAAACTACACATGTTGGCTGGACACAGAGAAAAGGGAACACTTCTCCACTCCTGGTGGGAATGCAAACTAATATGTTCCTTTTGGAAAGAAGTTTGGAGAACACTCAGGGATCTAAAAATTGACCGGCCATTGGATCCTGCAATTCCTCTACTAGGAGTATATCCAAAAGACCAAAAATCACTTTGCAAAAAAGATATTTTATTTGCACTAGATTATTCATTGCAGCTCAATTTGTAATAGCCAAATCATGGAAGAGGCCCAACTGCCCATAGATCCATGAATGGATTAATAAATTGTAGTATATGTATACCGTGGAATACTATGCAGCTTTTAAAAAAGATGGAGCCTTTGCCTCTTTTATGTTTACATAGAGGGACCTGGAACATATTCTTCTGAGTAAAGTATCTCAAGAATAGAGGGAAAAGTATGTAGTGTACTCAGTACTTCTATGAAACCTACTTATATTTACTCACTTTGTTATGAAAGATAGAACACAACTATAGCTCAGGATAAAGGAGAGAAATGGAGTGGTAAGGGAGGAGCAAGGGAAGGTTTGATAGAGGGAGGGTAAAAGGCAGGACCACACCTATGGAGCATATTGCAAGGGTATAAGACAAATCTGTAAAGTGTAGAACACAAATGTCTTAACACAATAATCAAGTAAATGAGGCGAAAGCTATGTTGATTGGTTTGATGTAACCACATCAGATTGTATAAAAAAAAAAAAAAATCAACAGGCTCAGCACCTGTGGCTCAAGTGGCTAAGGCACCAGGCACATGCACCTAGCGTGGCAGGTTCGAATCCAGCCCAGGCCTGCCAAAAACAACAATGACAGCTGCAACCAAAAAACTGCTGGGCATTGTGGCAGGTACCTATGGTCCCAGCTACTTGGGAGGCTGAGGCAGGAGACTTGCTTGATCCCAGGAGTTGAAGGTTGCTATGAGCTGTGATGCCACGGCACTCTATCCAGGGGGATAGCTTGAGGCTCTGTCTCAAAAAAAAAAAAAAAAAACACATTGTACGCCACATATGCATAAATGTATTCATGATCTATGTGTATTTGACTTAATAAAAAAAATCCAAATAAATGGCAAGGATGATATAGCAACAATAATAAAAAAATAAATAAAAGAATAGAGATTATACCATGTCTCTTCTCAGACCACAAAACCATAAAGGTGAAGCTCAACTCCAACAAAATGTTCATCTCCACAAAAAGTCTTAGAAACTAAACATCATGCTGAATGATAGTTGAGTTCAGGAAGAGATAAAAGAGGAATTTGTTAATATCCTCAAACATAACAACAATGAAGACACAAATTACCAAAACCTGTGAATACAGCAAAAGCAGTCCTGAGAGGAAAATTTATTGTGCTAGATGCCTGCTTTCAAAAACAGAAAGTGAGCACATGAGCACACTCACAAATCATCTTATGGAATTGAAAAAAGAAAAACATTTCTAATGCTAAACCCAGCACAAGCAAAGAAACAGCCAAAATTAAACGAGAGATTAATGAACTTGAAAACAAAAAAATCATTCATAAAATGAATGAAACCAAAAAATGAAACAAACATCTTACAGCACCTAATTTGTGATAAACCAAACAAGAACATACACTGGGGGAAAGAATCCTTATTCAATAAATGGTAAGTGGGACTTAATTAAATTGAATAGCTTCTGTACAGCTAAGGAGACAACAACCAAAGCAAACAGACAACCATCAGAATGGGAAAAGATTTTTGCACATCATGAATTGGACAAAAGCTTGATAACTACTATCTACAGAGAAATTAATCAATGCAAAAAAAGCTAATAAATAATCCCTTATATTGATGGGCAAAAGAGATAAATAGAACCTCCTCTAAAGAAGATAGACGAATGATGACTAACATAGGTAAAAATGCTCATCATCCCTAATTACGAGAGCAATGTAAATCAAAACCAGCCTAATGTGTCACCTAACCCCAGTGAGAATGACCCACATCACAAAATCTCAAAGCTGCAGATGCTAGCATGGATGTGAAGAGAAGGAACACTTTTACACTGCTGGTGTAATACAACAAACTAATAGAACCTTTTTGGAAGGAAGTGTGGAGAATACTCAAAGAACTCAAACTAGGCCTCCCATTTGATCCTACCATTACTGGGCATCTACCCAGAGGGAAAAAAATTATTTTTCAGAAGGACATTTGCACTAGACTGTTTACTGCAGCTCAATTTGCAATAGCCAAAATGTGGAAACAGTCTTAATGCCCACCAACCTAGCAATGGATTTAACATGCTGTGGTATATGTATACCATGGAATACTATTCAGCCACTAAAAAAGATGGAGACTTCACATCTTTTGTATTAACCTGGATGGAGTTGGAACATAGTCTTCTTCTTACTAAAGCATCACAAGAATGGAGAAGCAAGAATCCCATGTACTCTATTCTGATATGAGGACAATTGATGACCTAGTATGTAGTGAGGGGTGGGGGAATGGGGGAGCCAAGAGAGGGAAGGAGGGAGAGGGTGGAGGGCCAAGGTGTGTGATACACCTCTTAGAGGCGGGACATAGTTATAAGAGGGACTTTACCTAACAAATACAATCAGTGTAACCTAGTTCTCTGTACCCTCAGTGAATCCCCAATAACTTAAAAAAAAAAAATGCTAGCACCCATCCTCTCTCCAGAAACTTCACATAAAATCAGTGCTTCCATAGAAGATATACACTGTTACCCTCTGGTGGTTTCTTCTTATTATTATTTTTTTTAATCATCCAACCTAAAACATCAGTTCTGTGGTTTATACACCCTGGTGTATTACCTTATACCTCAGTTTGAGAAGCTCAGAAATGGGCCATGCTGGAGAAATACAGGAATAAATTCTTTTTAGAGTTTCATGTGGGAGCTATAAATAGGAAAATGGCTGTATCTGTTTGATCAGCTTAACATCCTCCTTTGGCAGATGGAACACTTTTGTCTGTTTTTCCATTAAAATCTGCCTGTTAGGCTAGGCACCATGGAAGCCGAGGAAGGTGGATGCTCTGAACTCACGAGTTCAAGACCAGCCTGAGCAAGAGCAAGGCCCTGTTTCTAAAAATAGCTAGGCATTGTGGCGGGAGCCTATAGTCCCAGCTACTCAGGAGGCTGAAGCAAGAGAATCGCTTGAGCCCAAGAGTCTGAGGCTGCTCTGAGCTATGATGCCATGGCACTCTACTGAGGGTGACAAAGTGAGATTCTGTTTCAAAGAAAAAGAAAATCTGCCTATTAGGTTATATTTTTTCAGTTTTGTGTGACTAAATTTTTTAAACATATAGTTGAGAATTACCAGTAAAATCCTACAACAGTGAAAATTATAAAGGATTTTGTATATTTCACTATCACAGAATATATGTTATCTTAATGCTAAAAGGAAAATATTATTGGCAACTTTTTTTTCTTTTTTGAGACAGGGTCTTACTCTGTTGTTGGGGCTGGAGTTCAGTGGTACAATTATAATTCAGTGCAACCTCGAACTCCTGGGCTCAGATCTTCCCATCTCAGCATCCCAAGTAGCTAGGACTATAGGTGTACACCACCATGCCCAGCTAATTTTTCTTATAGAGATGAGGGGTCTGACTATGTTGCCTAGGCTGGTCTTGAACTTCTGGCCTCATCATTCTACTGCCTCAGCCTCCCAGAATGCTGGGATCCACCATACTTAGCCCCTATTTGCAGTCTCTTATTGGAAGAAAAAAAAAGCCAGAAGTAAACACTTCAGAATCTTTCAGAATTATTTTCTGATTCTTCTTCCATCTTGGACGTTCCAATTGCAGAACTAAACCAAAAGTTGTTCCAACATCCCCCCACAAACAAAACCCCAACCTCCTCCTAAAAAGCATAGGTTTTGAAATTAGCAGGGAATTGTCCTTTTGTGACCAGACTTCATTTCTCATTATACATTATTATGTATCAATATTATAAAAATTGTTAATAAGTAAATTGAATGAATTGTGAATTTGCTTTCTAATACCTATTTAATGGATAGTTTATTGTTTTGGTTAAAAAAAGTTTGCCTCTTGATACTTCTATCCTTTTCCTTTTCATTGGTTATGGACCTTATGTTTCTACTACTCAAAGTCTGTTAATTTGAGAACTTTTCTCCACCATTCATTTTAGAGCTTCATATGACAGGCCAGTAAGTATATGGATTTTGGTTAAGTAGTTTGGGTTAGAAGTAACTAAAATTAAAAATACTTATAAAATTAATATTTTTAGCTTAATTGAAATTTCTTTAATTTTGACTTTTACAGCTTTTATAATTCTTCAGGTGACATAAATAAGGAAGCTCTAATGAAAATATTATCAAGTGTCAAAAAGGTATTCTCAATTTACCTTTTTTTTTTGGTATTTAATATGCATTATTTTTAATTCCTAGAAGCAGGTAGAACTTTGACAGAACTTTTAAGCACTGTTTGTCTGCCTGATATCCTATAAAGCAAGTCTAAAAGGCTTGTTCTTCCCAGAAATTAAAAAGGGTTGTTGTGAAAACACAACTAATAATTAAGAGCATTCTCATCCTTCCCTTGACTATAATAAACATTGATCTCTTTTTCTCCTGCGTTTCCACCACACCACTTCCCAGGTTCAAATCCAGCCCAGGCCTGCCAAACAACAATGACAACTACAACCAAAAAATAGCCGGGCGTTGTGGTGAGCACTTGTAGTCCCAGCTACTTGGGAAGCTGAGGCAAGAGAATCGCTTAAGCCCAGGAGTTGGAGGTTACTATGAGCTCTGACACCACAGCACTATACTCAGGGTGACAGCTTGAGGCTCTGTCTCAAAAAATAAAATGTACCTATAGATATATTTATTTTGGGGGATGGTGGCTCAAACCTATAATCCTAGCACTTTGGAAGGCTGAAGCAGGAGAATTGCTTAAGGTCAAGAGTTAAAAACCATCCTGGGCAAGAGTGAGACTCCATCCCTATTTAAAAAACAGAAAAGTTAGCTGGGCGGGGGGCATACCTCTATAGTCCCAACTACTTGGGAAACTGAGGCAGAAGGATCACTTGAGCCCAGGCATATGAGGTTACAATGAACTATAATAACGCCACTGCACTCCAGCCTGAGTGAAAGAACAAAACCCTATCTCAAAAAAAAAATTTTTTTTTAGAGAGAATAGTTATAATTTTAATAACATTTAGTTGCTGAACCTCACAGATCTTAAAGTGCTTTTCTTCCTGTATTTCAATTACTGAGTTTTCAGTAAATGAGAATTATTTTTCTATTTTAAAAAAAGGGTTAGTAATACTAATATGACATTTGTGGAGCAATGTCACAGTTTACAAAATCCTTACACATGATCATACTTAATCTTAAAACCAGCTTTGTGAGGTAGGTGATGTCATTCCCATTTTAGGTTAAAGCTATATGGTTCACTTACTTAAGTAAGTATCCACACAGGAATTTAACTTGTTTTGAGGGAGTGATTGCTTAGTGAGTTAATCAATGGCATTGATTTTTTTTAATTTAAATTTTAATAAAGGGATTAAGGATTAAGACTGCAAAATAGTAAATGCCGTAAAAGAAACTAGAGGAAATTAAGAATTTTTTTCTCCTTAAATCTATACTAATCAAAATTTATTTATTTATTTATTTATTTTATAGAGGCAGAATCTCACTTTGTCACCCTCGGTAGAATGCTGTGGCGTCATAGCTCATAACAACCTCAAACTCTTGTGCTCAGGCGATCCTCTTGGCTCAGCCTCCCAAGTACCTGGGACTACAGGTGCCTGCCACAACACCCGGCTATACTGTTGTTGTTGTTTAGCAGGCCCGGGCTGGGTTTGAACCCACCAGCCCTGAAGCATGTAGCCGGTGCCCTAACCACTGAGCAATGGGCACCCAGCCATATTGATCAAAATTTAAATGAACGCAAGATAATTTAACTGTAAATCTATTTGCATACTTTAGAAAGTGAAGTATATTACTAAATGCATTATTTATTTATTATCTACCCAAATGTTTCTATATATTAAGAAAGCCATTTTTAAGGTTGTCAATTCTATTGCTTAACTGTAATAGATACATAATTGTAACCATTAAGATATACATCTTATTTTTTCTGTATTTCAGACTGTGGTAGGTTGGTACAAATTCCGTCGTCATTCAGATCAGATTGTGACATTTAGAGAGAGACTCCTTCACAAAAACTTACAGAAGCATTTTTCAAGCCAAGATCTTGTTTTTCTGCTGTTAACACCAAGTATAATAACAGAAAGCTGCTCTACTCATCGGCTGGAACATGCCTTATATAAGCCTCAAAAAGGGTAAATGTTGGCCAGTCACTGGCTTTCTTAAACTAATAGAAAAAAAGTACTAATACTTAGTACTTTTGTAGCTTACCAAGTGTTTTCATATATTGTAGGATTAGATTGTCACAATAACCCTCTGAAGTAGGCCTTATCAGCTGTTAAGTATCATAGCAAAATTAAGTCAGATAAAGAAACTGGAAACCCAGGGTGGAATGATGACTTCTCTGGCATTGACGATTTGGATATTTACTAGTTAAGGTGAAAAAATATTTTAGACATTGATTAAATCAATATTGGTTAAGCCTACCCGCTTATGCAGCTTTTCTATAACCTCTGCAAAGAAGCAAAATAGTCCTTGATACTCCACCCAAATGAGACTCCCATAGGTTGTATAAAAACTACATTTTCATGGAATATAAGAATTAAGGTAAGGCTGGGTGAGGTGGCTTACACCTATAATACTAGCACTCTGGGAAACCAAGGTGGGAAGGATCACTTCAACTCAAGAGTTCAAGACCATCCTGAGAACATCTACTAAAAATAGAAAAAATTAGCCAGGTATTGTGGAGGCCTCTGTAGCCCCAGCTACTCAGGAAGCTTAGGCAGGAGGATCACTTGAAACCAGGAGTTTGAGGTTGCTGTGAGATAGGCTGACTTTATAGCACTCTAGGCAACAGAGGGAGACTTGGTGTCAGAGAATTAAGTTATAAGGGGACCAAGTAAGATCAGTATTATCATTCATGAAAAGATAAATTTCAGGCTCGGCGCCTGTGGCTCAAGCGGCTAAGGTGCCAGCCACATACACTTAAGGTGGCGGGTTCGAATCCAGCTCAGCCCACCAAACAACAATGACAGCTGCAACCAAAAAATAGCCGGGTGCTGTGGCAGGCACCTGTGGTCTCAGCTACTTGGGAGGCTGAGGCAGGAGACTCGCTTGAGCCCAGGAGTTGGGAGGTTGCTGTGAGCTGTGATGCAATGGCGCTCTACCCAGGGGGACAGCTTGAGGCTCTGTCTCAAAAAAAAGAAAAGATAAATTTCAACATTAATACTTTTTTTTCAGATACTAATCAGTTAAAGTAGCCATTACAATATTTTTTCATACAATGATACCAGGCACATTTTACTTTAAGTTTTTTAAAACTTTTAAAAGCCAATTGCCTTAAGTCAGTAAATTCTATCTCAGGTTACGTAATAAGTAATGTTTTAGGGGTTTTTTTTTTTTTTCGTCTTTTTCTTAATCTTACGGGGGAAAAGTAGTCTAATAGATGCTAATCCTTCTCTTCATTCTAAATTTGTATTTTATTTTGACAGACTTTTTCATAGGGTACCATTAGTGGTTGCTAATCTGGGCATGTCTGAACAACTGGGTTATAAAACAGTATCAACTTCCTGTATGTCCTCTGGTTTTAGCCGAGCAGTAAAAACACACAGGTAAGATTCTTAACTGCTTTCCCCTCAATTTACTCCTATTTCTTTTTATTTAAATTAACATATTAACTACCATCTAGGTTATATTTAATGTACACTAGTTTGGAGTCTCTTGAACCACATATAAGTCACATGCTCTTGACCTGTCTTGACCTAATGAAACACCATGGCTCTATGGAAAAACAATTTTTTTTTTCTAGTGTAGTAGTCAGTGTGTTTAATTTTCTGATTATATAAACAGCAGCAGAATAAAAATGAAAGGAAAACTGTATAATGAATACCTTACAAGTAAACTAGACTGTTTTTACTTTTTCCATTCTTCCTAATAGCACTTTTCTGCTGATAAAATAACCAAAATGGCAGTAGGGGAAAGTTGTTGCATGTCCTGCAAATTTGAGCATATTTATTCTAAATTAGAATAAGTAGCTAGCCTTAAAGTTACAGTTTTTTTAAGGCAGTGGTTCAGAATATGGGCATGAAATTAGAATGGATATTAAAGAGAAAAATAAACCAGGTTTTACGTAAGACTTACTAATACCTTAGGCTGCTTAGGTATAATTTTTTTGTCATCATTAAGGAAGGGAATAAAGTCACAAATAGCAAGCAAAATTGGTATGGTAGGGAATTTACTATAGTATAAACTTTATGAGCATAAGGGGTTGAGTTTTATTTTTGCGTCCCCACGGTACTTAGCAATCTAAGAACTGAATACCATATTTCATTAATTTTGAGACATGCTCATTTTTCACATTTGTCTCTGAATTGTTTACAAATCATGCCACCTTAATATTTTTTCTTTCATGAATCATAAAATAATGGTGCCTCTTTCAATTAATGGTGACTTAAATTTAGTAAAAAATTTTAGAAATTGATTCCTATCTCCATGGTAAGAAAAAGACTTTTTCCGCTCCCTCTTACAGTTTTCATCTATTGTTACTAAACTTTTTTTTTTTTAAATTGGCAACCTGGCAATGACACTTATGAAGCTAAAAAGTTAGCTAATCTGAAGATAGATGAGGTAGGCTTTCCAGTTAGTTTTGCTGTATACATGTAGGTTGACAAAATTATGGTCCCTAAAAAGCCAGTAAAAGAATTTTCCATTGTTCCTTGACAACAAATAAGTTTTTCACCTTATCATCAAAGTTAGTTCTGTATGCTTCCCTGATAAAATGGTAGTTTTTTACAGCTCTGAATTTTTTGAAGATGACGGATCTTTAAAGGAGGTACACAAGATAAACAAAATGTATTCTTCATTACAAGGGGAATTAAAGGTAAGTTAATATACCTAACCCTTAAAAATTATTTCTAGAGTTCCTATCAAATTGATCACAGTAATTTTTTAGGGATAAAATTTTGATTAATTTATAATCTCATAAGGTCATTAGGCAGTTTTTTGTGAGCGTCATATAATATATATACACAAACCGGCATTTGTGTGTGTGGATAGATACACATGAAGTTCTGACAAGTTTGTGAACTTGCCACTGTACAGTTATGTTAATACCATACAGACAACTCGGTGAAGTTACATAACCTTGGTCTACAAGTGTCTCACAGTTATGTTCATACTGACATGTAATGTTATCCTGCTGAGTGGCAATCATTACTGTTCTGTGTTTTTGTGTGCTATCAGAAGAATGTCAGAGCTTGAATTAAAGCGATGAACAAACAGTAAATTTCTTTTCTTTTCTTTTCTTTTTTTTGAGACAGTCTCATTTTTGTTGCCCTCAGTAGAATGGCATGGAGTGGCATCAGAGCTCACAGCAACCTCAAACTCTTGGGCTCAAGTACTTCTTTTGCCTCAGCCTCTCAAGTAGGTAGCTGGGACTACAAGCACTGCCACAACACTTAGCTATTTTTAGAGATGGGGGTCTCATTCTTGCTCTCATTGGTCTCGAACTCCTGATCTCAGGCAGTCCACCCACCTCAGCCTACCAGAGTGCTGGGATTACAGATATGAGCCACTACACCCAGCTAAATTTCTTTATTAAACTTGGCAAGAGTAGAAGTGAAATCAGGGATATGTTAGTCAAAGTTTATAAGGGTAACACCATAAAGAAAACACTGGTATACAAATGGATTAAATGTTTTTCTGGGGGAGAGAAAGCATCACTGATGAAGAGAGGTCAGGGCAACCAGTAACCAGCAGAATTGAGGAAAACGTTGTAAATATTCATTGAATTGTATGTCAAAATTGTCAGCTGTGAGAAGCATAGCAAACCAAGTTAACCAGTAGAGAAACAGGAAAATCTTAATTGAAAATCTTGGTATGAGAAAGGTGTGTGCAAAAACAGTCTTGAAGGAGCTCACTGATGAACAAAAGCAAAGGAGAGTTGAAGGTTGCCAAGACCTATTGGAGAAGCAAGACAGTATTTTGGACAATGTTATCACTTGTGATGACACATGGGTATACTAAATGCAACCCTAAAACGACGCATCAAAGTACATGATGGAAGCCAGTCAGTTTTCCATGACCGAAAGAGTTCCATCAGTCCAAATCAACAGTCAAAACAATGTCACTTCAGTTTTTTTGATATCAGAAGTCTTGTTCATTACAAAATTGTACCAACTGAACAAACATTTAACCAAGTTTACTATTTGGAAGTGCTTAAAAGACTGTGTGGGGCTGGGCGCAGTGACTTAGGTCTGTAATCCCAGCACTCTGGGACTCAAGAGATAGGTGGATTGCCTGAGCTAAAGAGTTTGAGACCAGCCTAAGCAAGAGAGAGACCCCGTCTCTAAAAATAGCTGGGTGTTGTGGTGGACGCCTGTAGTCCCAGCTACTGGGAGGCTAAAGCAAGAGAGTTGCTTAAGCCCAAGAGTTTGAGATAGGTGGCATTCCACTAGGGGCAACAAAATGAGACTCTGTCTCAAAAAAAAGACTAAAGAAGTTAACTAAAACAACCTCAACTTTTTACCAACTCATGGCTCTTGCTTATATCACAATAGTGCACCAGCTCACATGACACTGTCTGTGAGAGAGTTTTGAGCCAGTAAACAAGATAGAGGAATTACTGAAAGGAAGACATTTGATGACATTCAGGACATCAAGCAATGTTCCAAATTGCTCCGAAGGGTGGACTAGGCACTGGCCTCAGTGCATAGCTTTCCAAGGGGAGTACTTCATAGTGATACTTACCAGTGAGGTATATGATACCTTTTCCAGGACGGGTTTGCAAAGCTGTTTGTGTGTGATGTGTATTTTTTTTTTTTTTTTTTGGTAGACAGTTTTGTTCTCTTGCCCTAGATAGAATACAATAGTGTCATCATAGCTCTGCAACCTCCAACTCCCGGGCTTAAGTGATCCCTGTCTCAGCTTTGTGAGTAGTGAGTACCTGGGACTTTAGGTACTCACCACAAAGCCTGGCTAATTTTTTCTATTTTTGGTAGAGATGGGATCTTGCTTTTGCTCATGCAGGTCTCAAATTCCTGACCCCAAGCAGTTCTCCTGCCTGGGCCTCCTAGAGTGCTGAGATTCCAGGTACAAGCCACCATGCACAACCTGTATTTTTATTGTGTATATGTATATATGTATGTGTCTATAACCAAATGTCCTTAGATCATTACTGAATATCAGTGATCTGCCCTACTAGATCTGCAATGCCAGTATCAAGTATCATACATCAGCTTTTTCTATATATACACCATTATAATTTTAATGAGATCACTGTCATAATATGGTGTCCTTTCTTGAGACATCATCATGCAGCATATGACTATTTCCAGTCTCGGTGGCTTACAAAAATAAAGGTTTAGTCTTGCTCACATTATATCTTGGCTGTAGCTCTACTCTTGTTCCAAAGTCACCTTCATTCCAGGATCCAGGCTAAAGGAGCCACCTTTATTTGTTCTCATAGTATAAGGCAAAGAATAAAAACAGCTGTCGGAAATTCATAGTAGCTCTTTAAACTAGGCTCAGAACTGCCATGTCACTTCTACTCACTTTTAATGGGCCACAGCACATCACATAGGTGGTCCTGAGAAGGATTTAAAAGAGAAAAAGGATCAAGAATATGTAGGAAGATCCTTCAGACTGCACTGTAAGTCTGACCCCTGATAAAGGAGAGGGGAGTAAGAGGATGACTGGTTTCAAAGAGCTCCAGAATACAGTGCCATTCTAAGAAAGTTCAGCTATGCTGATGGGGAGTCCTTGAATAAAGTTGCCCCAAAGTAGTTCCATAGGCCTGATACCCACATGGTGCTCAGTCATTGGCTAGGAAACAGCCCCGGGGAAGCATAGCTTAGGAGCAAACAATGGTAGATCCAGAGCTAGAGCTGTCAGCTATGCTCCCCCCTTGGAGATATGAGGAGTATATGATATGGTTCCCATACTTATTAATAGAGCACATTAAAGGGAAAAGTAGTCAATACCTTTTATACATTACTACTTTTAAATAGGAATTATAGAAAATAGAAACATCCTAAGTTTTACCATTTTAATAAAACTACTTCCACTCTGCCATGTTCTCTATTTTCCCTAATGTATATATATTTATACTTTCACATAATGGAAAATTATGGCAACATATAAATTTGTGTCATAATTTTTCTCTTTGTTTAAGAGACAAGTTTCACTATGTTGCCCAGGCACTGGCCTTGAACTCCAGGGCTCAGAACTTCCTGCATCAGCTTCCCAAGTGACTAAGACTACAGGCACACCCCACTCCTGAGTTTTTTCCTTTAATATGATATGTCATTAAACATTTTTCATACTGCTACATATTCTTTAGTTACTTTAATGGCAGTATATTTCACAAAGCAGTAGATAAGAACTCAGAAGTTAAATATACCAACTTATACTAAAATGGGGAATGTAGAGGTATCCACAGGAACTGTTAGTAAAAAGCAGGAAGGATTGAACTTCCTGAACTTTAGGAAGGATTTGAACCAGGAGCTGGAATGTCATGAGAATTTTCTCTCCCTCTGTATCTGTGTATTGCTTTCCTTCTTCATATTTATAGATCTTGCTGTTTCCCCATCCACTGGCAGACCAGAGAATGGCTAACTATTCAAGAGATTAAGATTTACCCACTGGCAGATGGGTAATAACTCTAGATTCCCAGGGGAGAACCTGGGTCAGCTAGAGTGAAAATGGCTATAGGGGTTACTGGCAAAACTCTTATGTTCAGGCAAAAAAGTTAGGGTATCCACTAAAACTGGCTATAACTTAACTATTTACCCTGTAATCCGAAATTAGTTAACAATGATTTGATACTATCCTAAGGGACATAATCTCTTAAAATTTTTTATTTAGTTAAGATACATTCCTAAAATGGAATTACTAAGTCAAAGTTATTGGTATTCATGCTTTTGAAACTGATGACACACAGGTTTGGTTTGCTCCTGAACAGTGGCTTTTCAGAACAGTAAAATACTGGGTGTCCATAAAGTTGATGTGCAATTTAAAATAGTTTTAAATTTTAAATTGAACTTTATGGACACACTGTATAGCCACTTTTCATTTACCATCAGTTGCTTAATATTAAATTTGTGCAATAACTGTATCTTTCAGCATTTGTTTCAAAGTGAGTTAAATTTCAATTTGTTTCTGTGAATTAGTATCAGCTATTATTAACAAAATAACTGATATAACACAACTGTATTTTAAGAAGATATGTATCTAAAAAGCATTTTATAACTTATAAAGAAGCATACCAGTGTTTGTTTTTGAGGTCCTCCAGAGACTTGAAAAATAAAATTTATGTAAAAGGCAAATAGTAGTTGATGCTATATGTCACTGAGGATAAGACTCTGTTAATATAGAACTTGAAATGTTGTATATGCCCTTAAATTATTTTGCAGAGTATATGTAAAAAAGTGGAACACAGTGAGCAAGCAGTAGAGAAACTACTAAAGGATATAAACAGATTAAAACAAGAAATTAAAAAAAGGAAACGAGAACAGGCTCAAGCAATACGTAAGTAAAGACCTAATGCATCACTTTTTTATGTGCTTTTAAAAAAATTCTTACTAATTTGAATTATGGATGAGCCAACTGCCTTATGATAAATTTATCTACCTTGAGATTTAAACTAGTTGTTTTATTAATACTCTTAAATCCACCAAACAACATGGTACTATAGTAGCTCTTTACATACTCTATTGTGGATATTAAGGATTATAACTTTAATTTTCTCTTAGAATATTGTGGTATACAATTTGGAATTACACATGTCATTGTTCTCACTAGATAATTAGATATAATTATTAAAATCTTTTTTTATTTACTATTACTAACAAATAGTTAATTATAAAAAGCTCTCTAGAACAATAGCTACATGTTGAAGTATTGTTTTGTTTTGTTTAGGAGAGAAGAATGTCCAAAAAGACCCTCAGGAGAACATTTTTCTTTGTCAAGCTTTGCGGACCTTTTTTCCAGATTGTGAATTTCTTCATTCATGTGTTATCTCTTTGAAAAGTAGGCATATTTCTAAAAGTAGATGTAACACCAACCACCACCTTAATATGATAGACAACCTGACCTTAATGGTAGAATACACTGACATTCCTGAAGATAGTCCACCTGGTACACCACAAATAGTTAAGCGTAAATGTTTAGACATAGGTGACGGATGGCAATTCAAGAAGTCACGGCTGGTAGAGATAGAAAACAACCCATCTAAAACAGATACTGATAGTAGTAACCAAGAAAAAGCAACCACAATAAGTAGCCCAGAAACAGATGAAGAGATAGAGAAAATGAAGGGTTCAGATGAATATCCGCCGTCTCCTACATTTTAATCCTTTTAACCCAAAAGGAGATTATTGTTGCTATGCTCAGCTACTTGCAGTAATTACATAAATACATTCAGATATATTGCTTTGTTTTTATTATATTCAGCTATTCTTAGTAATACATAACTAAGGTAATTTGTTTTTACTATGTTCACATACTTGCAATAAAACTTAAGTTCTAACACATTTGTAAAGTACTTTTAAAAATAATGAGATGTTTTTATTTATCAGAACCTTTTTTCATTTCTTACTAAATTGTTGAGGGAAAAGCTTAAAATAGATACACTCTTTTAAACTTGAACAGCATTCTTCTTTAGAATTGGAAAGGAGAATTCTCAGTGTGAAATCTATAAAGTTAATATGAAAATTTATTTTTATCTAAAGTCATTAAAATTCTCATTCCTTAAGTAATGATAAAAAGTACATTATGGCTAGGATTGCCAGATAAAATTTGGGATATATTTATATTACAGTTATTTGTCTTAAGTTTAAATTTAACTGGGTGTCTTGTTATTTTCATTTGCCAAGTCTAGCAGCCCTAACTATGACACACTATAATGCAGCACAAACAGTAATCTTTCCCTTAGTCTGCAGTGCTCTGCACAAAATGGAGCAAATCTAAACTTTTGAGTACAGTTCAAGTCTGTTAATCCAGTGCATTTTGAGGTTAACTTTTGAGTCAAGCAACTAAAAAGGACAGTTAAAGTAGGACTCAGAAATGCTACATACATTGGAATGTCTATCACAAAGCTTTCATTTTAACATAAAGCAGAAGTGTTTGTTCAACTGTCAACTATTTGGCATAGGGCCAGGAACTTTTCTGAGTCTTGAGTCCAGTGATTGGAGCGTCTATGTAAATCACCATTAATTAACCTCTACAAGCCCCAGTTTTGGTTTCTTTAACATGAAGAATTTATAGAAACTTGAAGCAACAAAGAAAGTACAAAATGCTACTAGGTTTTTCCATTTCCTAACACCCTCCCACCTACCCCATCTTCAGTTCTCCTAATCACATCTAACTAGACAAATTTTTTTTTTGTTTTTTTTTTTTAAAGACAGAGTCTCACTCTGTTGCCCAGGCTAGAGTGCCTTGGCGTAGCCTAACTCACAGCAACCTCAAATTCCTAGGCTCACACGATCCTCCTGCCTCTGCCTACAGATCACAATGCCTGACTAATTTTCCAGCAACCTCCAACCAAATTTTATTTTTCCAGCAACCTCCAACTCCTGGGCTCAAGCTAGTCTCCTGCCTCTGCCTCCCAAGTAGCTGGGACCACAGGCGCCCGCCACAACGCCCGGCTATTTTTTGGTTGCAGCCATCATTGTTGTTTGGCGGGTCCGGGCTGGGGATTCGAACCCGCCACCTTAGGTGTACGTGGCTGGCGCCTTAGCCAGTTGAGCTATAGGCGCCGAGCCATTTACTTAATTTTCATAGCAAAAATAACTTTCTTCTCACCTTATACTTCATCAGTACAATAACAATCTACCACAGGTCTGGAAACAGAACTTGACAGTGCAAAATTCAACAGAGAGTCATGGCCCATGATGTTTTTAGGGAGGACATAAAGCCCCAGTTCAATCCAGTGAGTTTAAGTGAAGGTTGCATAAGAAAGCTTCTGTGGGCTCGGCGCCTATAGCTCAACCGGCTAAGGCGCCAGCCACGTACACCTAAGGTGGCGGGTTCGAATCCCCAGCCCGGACCCGCCAAACAACAATGATGGCTGCAACCAAAAAATAGCCGGGCGTTGTGGCGGGCGCCTGTGGTCCCAGCTACTTGGGAGGCGGAGGCAGGAGACTCGCTTGAGCCCAGGAGTTGGAGGTTGCTGTGAGCTGTAATGCCATGGCACTCTGCCCAGGGGGACAGCTTGAGGCTCTGTCTCAAAAAAAAAAAAAAGAAAGCTTCTGTGGTATGTGTAGACACATTTATGTCTTTTTCACACACTTTCCACAAACTATATACATCTCATGAAGCCTTCAATATGTTCTTTTGAAATTCTCAGTGCATACTTTGACCTCTTATCTTTCATCTCTTCCTAAAGAAATTACTTGATATAGAAAATCATAGCTAGGTAACAAAAACTCTTCTGTTTACATGCATTAATTACTATAGGGTAGTTAAGAAGCCACATAATACCAAAAACTGGTACAAACTGTAAGTTTTAGGGCGGTGCCTGTGGCTCAAGGAGTAGGGTCCTGGCCCCGTATACTGGAGGTGGTGGGTTCTAACCCAGCCCCAGCCAAAAACTGCAAAAAAAAAAACAAATTATAAGTTTTTACTACTGGGGTTGTGTTTGGTATGTAGTATATGTGACAGGAAGAGGAAAACTATATAGAGTTGTCAGTCTGAACCTTTACATATATCACTTCAGGGAGAAAACATGACTCAGGGAGATAACAGATAATGTATAAATTATCATCCCTTTATGTAAAAGACACTACTGGTTTTAGACTCATACAGGAATGTATATTTGATCCTCCTGTAACAATACTGCTAACCATCCCAATTTATCACCTCTACAATGGGAAAACTCACTCTTAACCAGGCACACTTATTTTTCGTAGTTAGAAAATTATTCTGAGAAATTTGAACTCCACAGCCAGTGACGTAAGACCTGAACATTATATAAACATTCTACTTTGGTGGATCCATTTCCTTGAAATCCCATCTGTAAGACAGAATCTGGGCCTAAATTAGAATTCCAATACAAGCTGACCCTCACTGATTTACTATACCAATGTCAGAGGGTACATATATGAACTATTTGGGGACCACATTTAAATGGCAATCACATAGTACCACTTTTATTCAAAGAATCTAAAATGTCATGCATACTACCATTTTAAATAAACAATCTGTTTAATGGATATTCATTGGTATGGAGGTGAAGCTTCACTCTTGAATCACTTTTCTACCCAAAGGTTTGTTTGAGTCAATATTGGCAACATACAATCACTTACTGTAAAGTAAGTTTATTGGTGGTAACATGTCACTTATTCCCGATAGCTGATGTTGCAAACTTTAGGGTCTTTGAGATACGCAGGATCCTTATATGTAACTGGCATAAACCCTGTAAAGAGATAAAGTTCTTCATAGTTACCATTCAATTAAATAAATAAATAAATAAATAAAAAAGAGACATAAAGTTCTTAACAAAAGATAATGAGCAAAATTGTCACTAGCTCAATTCAGTTGTTAGGTTCTCTTACCCATTATTTGAGCTCTTTTAATCGCTTTTGTGATTTCTTTCTGTTTCTTCCCACAAAGACCTATAAAAGAAATTTCTTCACAAAAAAAATGCCAATATTCAATTTGTAACAATTTTGTAAGTCAAGAGTTGGTAAATACTTTTTCAAGGGGCAGAATAGTAAATATTTTAGGTTTTGTGGACCATATAGTGTCCATCAAAACTACTCAGCTGCAGTTGAAAAGCAATGGCACTATGTAAACAAAACTTAAAAAAAAAAAAAAGGTGGCTGGTCAAATTTGGTATATTAGCCATAATCTACAGACATCAGGCTTTTAAGTATCAGCCTAGGAATGATTCTAGTATACTCCAAAACATCAAGAACATAATTTTTTTTAATTTCAGATTAAGAACACGATTTTTTTTTTCTTTTTTTAGAGACAGTCTCACTTTATCACCCTCAGTAGAGTGCCGTGGCATCACACATCTCACAGCAACCTCCAACTCCTGGGTTTAGGAGATTCTCTTGCCTCAGCCTCCCAAGTAGCTGGGACTACAAGCACCCGCCACAGTGCTGGGCTATTTTTTTGTTGCAGTTTGGCTGGGGCTGGGTTTGAATGTGCCATCTTCAGTTTATGGGGTCAGTACCCTACCCACCGAGCCACAGATGCCACGCAAGAACACAATTTTTTTAAGCCTTAGTTTTTTATATGTTGTCAGCATATAGTTAACATTGAACATTAAAAGATATGCGAAATTATAATCCTTCTGGCCTAAGAGGTATTCTCAAACCTAAATCTAGTCCTTGTAGTATCTGGATTAATAATGATTTATGGCACAATTTGACAATTTGCCAGTTTTCTTCAATGACAGAGTCAATTCACACCATTCTTACTACATATAAATTGCTGGAATAAAAAACAAAATACCTGTTATGTGTCTTCCATAAATGCATCCAGTAAATGGGGAAATAAACTGGGACAAAAGCTGTTTGGAAGGTTTTTTGGGAGGAAAATAAATTAATATATTTGTTATTCAACACCTGAAAGTATAAATTTCAAAAAAAAAAACTTTACACACCACCTTTGTAATATAAAAATTTACTAAATTCTGACATAAGATGAGAAAATTAACTAGTTTATCCTATTTTTTTTTTTTTAGAGACAGAGTCTTACTTTATTACCCTTGGTAGAGTGCCGTTACGTCACAGCTCACAGCAACCTCCAGCTCTTGGGCTTAGGCGATTCTCTTGTCTCAGCCTCCTGAATAGCTGGGACTATAGGCGCCCACCACAATGCCCCAGCTATTTTTTTGTTGCAGTTTGGCCAGGGCCGGGTTTGAACCCCCCACCCTTGGTATATGTCATCTTTTTTTTTTTTTTGAGCCTAATTTTTTTTTTTTTGAGACAGAGTCTCACTTAGTGTCTGCCTCAGTAGAACGTCACAGCTCACAGCAACCTCATTCTTGGGCTTAAGCAATTCCCTTGCCTCAGCCTCCCAAGTAGCTGGGACTATAGGTGCCCACCACAACGCCTGCCTATTTTTAGAGATGAGGTCCCACTCTGGTTCAGGCTGGTCTTGAACTTGTGAACTCAGGTAATCCACCCATGCCGGCTTCCCAGAGTGCTAGGATTACAGGTGTGAGCCACTGCACCCAGCCTTAAATCATCTTTTAAGAACCAAAGTTAATATCTAGTATATCAAAAATTTACATACTGTTAAGTAACAGTAATCAGCATATTCTCTCAGTACTAAATCTGTTTTCTTGACTTTCACAGACATTTTTCTAAAATATTGCTGCTTATAACAAGGTACTGGGTGGCACCTGTGGAGTAGGACACCAGCCCCATATGCCAGAGGTGGCAGGTTCAAACTCAGCCCTGGCCAAAAACTACAAAAAAAAAAAAAAAACAAGGTACTAAAACATTCCATCTATCCTGACAGGCTATCACATAATCATGAAGATAAATTATCAGACTACACTGAGATCTTCAAGAGGTACAGGGGCATCAAGCCATTTACTATAATTATGCTTTATGACTTGACTTCTAATTTAGGGCTTTCTAGGCAGAAAGGCACTGTTCTAGGCCTTTTACATAACCTTCCTACTATTTGTGTTTTTATAATTTCTTAGTTTTTCTCCCTCAAAAGTAATTGTCACTTTATACTATCATATGTATATGTAACTCCAGCACCATTTACTCCCCCAAATTCGCCACTTCTAACGTGCCGACAGTTAAATAATATGTGAAACAAAGATATGGGAGGAACTTTGTCCAAAGTACTCATCCTCACCAACTGAAAATCACCACCATAGTGATTTACTACCAAGACATTTGGGACAGAGAAAAAAGAAACACTCAGTGGAAATAACAGTAAATAAGGGAGAGCCATGGGGGTCTTATTTGAATAAAATACAGATACAACTTTATACATTGAATTATAACCAGATTTGAAACTAGGCAGTTTCTAAAACAGTTGCCTACAAAAACCTCCTATAAAATGGATTTCATTCTCTTTTAAGCAAGACTAGCAAGAACAAAATCCTAAAATCACAGTGAAATAAAACCACATCTCACCTGTACATTCTTATAATCTACACGTTTTCCACACAAGATACATTTCTTAAGAGGCTCCTTATAAGGATTTTCCATTGCAACAGGCTAAGATAAAGAAAGAAAAATCTGATGTTAATTTTATGATAATTAAATCTCAAAGTTACTATACTACATTTAAATCTATTCAAAGGATTAGTTTTATCTTTCGTGTTCATATTTTGTGTAAGCACTTCATTTTCTTTCATTTTGGCTATGGGAAACTCAAGGAGGATTCTGGAATAAGGTACAATCTTTGTAGAATAAAAAGGTTTATGGAAGAAAAAAATTCAAGTCTAATGAAATTGCTTAAATGGGTTGCCTAGATTAGATTTTTTAAGACATTTTATAAATTTAATTGCATGAAAATGTAAATTCTACAAATAATAAATCCAAAAATAACCTTAAAAACAAATTTATGATGAATACACATTAATGAGTTAACATGGTTGATAAAGAATTCTTACAAATCAAAAGTTAGCAATAGTGGTCTGAAGTTTGGGCTTGCTGGGACATGTCCTTTCATCTCAGAAAACCCAGGGGGTTTTCCAGTGCTAGACAGAAGTTCAGAGATCCAGTCTTCAGAACAGTCATCTCCTCCTTTATATAACTGATTCCAGAAGTTTCTGAATCTTTTGCTATTTTATAAACTTGACATTACCTAATTAACCACATTGACATCTTTACGCCTATCATATATATACTACTATTTTGACAACTACACAACAGATCAATTATTGAAATGGGCAAAGGATCATTTCCATTAGAATATGAAGCACCACTAACAATACATCTTATTCAAACTTCCTTGTCTCTCAAGAAACTACATTTCAAAGAAAATAAAAATGAGAAACTTAGTTTTCCCCAGAACCTATTTAGTTCTCTGAAATTTTATGCCTTATCAAAGCATCTCACATTGGTTCCATCTGATTCTTCATTGTCCACAGAGGATTCTTTCTCATCAGAAATGTACCAAAAAAGCCATGAAATAAAAGAGTTTCTATACACAAAATCTAGTATCCAGTTAACTTAAAACCTCCATTCATTATTTACTACAAACATTAGTAAACATTAGTATTGTCTCTCATCATCACAGCTATTTGGCTGAGATATAATCATTCCAGTTTAGAGATTAGAAAACTGAGGCTTTAAGTGCTTAATGACGTTCCCAAATATCTCATATTTAGCTATAAACCTAAAAAATTTACCCCAAACAAATCTATAAAATCGTTGCTACCAAGTCTACAAAATGCACACAATATTTAACAAATCTTTGCACTACAGTATCTGTCTCGTCCTTGATCACTCTGACCTTTTTCAGGCCAAAGATCTCTTTGACTTCTTTAGAAAGCTTCTAGGAAGAGCTCAATTTCTCATGTGCAGATAGATTCTCAGGACACCACCATCACCTCCTCCTGGCAGCTCAAGAAGGAAAAATGGACAAAAAGGCTCCAAAGAGAGGGGACTATATATATAAATGAGGGCATCATTTCCAACATCAAAAAACCTGACTTCTTCCATCTCAACATCTAGGAAAATACCCACATGCTGAAGTCCAGGGATTGAAGGAGTTCTACTTTCTGGGATGACACTGGCACAGATTGCTCCTCCCTTCATGCGAATAACACAGAAGCCATGCTCAGAGGATAAATCCCAATGCTTTCTGTCAACCGACTCCTTGCAGACACCCAGGGACTACTCCTTCATCTCTCCCACTTCTACCTTCCAGTAATGTCAGCTAGTGGAGAGAAGCAGGGCGTACCCATGACGCAGGCCAAGTGGTTGAATCTTCTTGGATCTTCCATCATGTTGTGATGGTTCTTCGCACACTGGATGCTCCTTATATCATCAGACAAGAAGGGAGCTGGTGGTGGCTGCATCCAGGCTCTTATCTTCCCAGACCCATGGAGCTCACAGCTCATGTGCATCATGTGCTCCAGGAGGGCCCCATGCTGCTTGAGAAGGGTGAACATCTGCCATTCTTCCATAGGTTTCTCTATTGATCCTTGTCACAAGGGGCAGATCAGTTTCAAAGTGTCCCTTTCTGACATCCATGTTTGGATGCAATCAAAGCAGAACATGTGCCCGCAAGAGAGATCGTGATAAACGCCAGGCAAACTGAGCACACCACCTCTGTTTAAAGACTTTTAGCCATAGTCCCCAAAGGTAACTCCTTGGCAGGGAACTGAACTAAAATGATCATTTATTAGCTTCTTGGAAGTTCTTAGACTCCCTCAATACACAGTCTGCTCCTCCCTATCAGGACGTATCTTGTCTGCAGACTTCCAGATGATGTGTTGGCTAAGACCAAAGCTTCTCCTTACAGGAGCTGAACCCAACTGGGTCTTTAACAGGATCTGGGCGTGAAGTCTCTGCCCTAATCCGTATTTCTTTGAAAGTCTCCTTGACTTGAAGATTTCCAGCAGAGGTCTTGGAGATCCCAAGTCTGCAATTCTTTGGCTCCTGGCCTGGTTGCCTCTCTTTAAATTTAAATTAAGAAAAACTTAACAGATAACATACGCTATTCTTAAACTACTATAATCCCCAAATATATTATCTATCCTCATTTTTTCTCTGTCAGATGTTTTATATTTTGTTTTGAGTTTTGTTGTTTGGTTAGTTTTAAGAGTGTTTCACTCTGTTGCCTGGGCTAGAACACAGTGGCACATCACCACAGCTCACTACAACTTCCAATTCCCAGGCTCAGGCAATCTTCCTCTCAGAGTGATAGAATTACAGGCCTGAGTCTCAGCATCCAAACTTTATCAGGTGTTTTAACACTATTTTTATGTTAGAAAGATAGTGTACCAAGGCTTACTGTAATAGGTTCTTTGACATCCATTTCATGGCCCCAGATTGCTATACACATGTAAGTTTATGTCAGCTTTTTGGTTTTTCTCTCCACAGTACTGCCTCTAATGCTTCTGTTACGGTGTCTCCCTTATACAGCCAGTATGGTTGTCCCTGGTATAGATGTTCTCAATCTGAACATCTCAATCTAAAACTCAATCTAAATCTCAATCTAAAACTGGCTTTGAAGTCCATGACCTCCTATAATTGTATGCAGAACTTCAAATGAATGGAATTTGCAGCTTTTCCATGGAGATGATCCAGTTTTCATTAGTGTCGGTGGAATTAATGACCTAAAAAGGAATATTACTCTCTGACCAAGATGGATGCTCAGAAGAATTAGACAACGTTTGTTTTTTTCCCACTTCTCCAAACTTTCTTTCTTTCTTTTTTTTTTTGAGACAGAGTCTCACAGCAACCACAAACTCCTGGGCTCAAGTGATCCTCTTGCCTCAGCCTCCCAAGTGGCTGGGATTACAGGAGGCGCCCACAATGCCCAGCTCTTTGTAAGAGGAGCGGTCTCACTCTTGCTCAGGCTGGTCTCAACCTCCTGAGCTCAGGCAATCCACCCACCTTGACCTCCCAGAGTGCCAGGATTACAAGTGTGAGCCACCATGCCCGGCCCTTCTCCAAACTTTTTTTTTTTTATTAAATGATAGCTCTATACATTAATGCAAACAGGGGGTACAGTGTAGTGTTTTCATATACATTTTGAAACACTTTCATCAAGCTGGTTCACATAGATTTCATGT